AACGAAACGTTGTGTTTTCTTTCTTCTCTTTTCAGCGTGGAATAAACCTATTACTTGTTCCTTTGCAGCCTACACATGCTGACGCAGCTACCCACCTGAACTAATATTATCTTTGCCTTTTTATTGCTTTCTCACATTTCATGGAAGATGTAAGAGTTGTTATCCTAAATATCTCAGCCTTGGTCATAAGGAGCCTCTTTTAGCTCAGTGTTTCCCAAATTTGTCACCTAAGTCAAGATGAATAAGACTACAAGCTACATACAGAGAGCATCTTACTGTAATCTGCTATATCTAAAAGCTTCTTAATATTTAATCTTTTTTTAGTCTTCCATAATGTATTTAAAATAGTTACTGTACTCATTGTTCTTAAATTACTGGTGCTTTTTTGTAATGTGTGGTCATTTGTGTAGTCCTGTTAATGTTCTCTTGTAAATTACAGAATGACCAATCAACAGAAGACATACAGATAATAGGAGGAGATGACCTGACAGTTCTCACTGGAAAGGTATGTACAAGGATTTAGCATAGATTGCTTAGAACGATTTTTTAAGATGCCTTTGTTTTTAATTGTGTTCCTATACACGAAGACTTTTTATGCGTGTCATTCTTTAAAAAAATGACTGCTCAAAAAGGCAGAATGTTTTATGTTGCTTCTGAGATAATGTATTCTCATTAGTTTCCCTCACAATCAGTCTGGAGATCATCGAAAATAGTGTCAAAGAATAAATGACAAGGACTAATTCCAGACTATCACAAAAAAGAAAATTACAAGGAAAATAGGTTATAAAGAGAATTGTGTCCTCACCAAAATGTGCCTTTTCTTTATTTTCATACAAAATGTAATTGAAACTATTTACTCATTGTAACGCAAGGTTCAGAAAATGCTTTGGGCTGGTTGTATTTCTCTTTTTGGATGTGCTTTTATTAAATATATAGTGTGTGGTCTGGTGGGAGTTACAGGGCTGGAAGACCATTGAACAAATACTTTTATACCTGTACTACAGATGACTGATTTGCCTGTAGCTTAAGCTTAGTCCACCATGTGGGGAACCCAGGAAGATGTGTTTTTGCTTTCAATAGCTGGAGGTAGTGTGTAGCACTGCTGCTGAATCCTTGAGAAACTTTGCTTCCAGTTAAAAAGCCCTGCCTTATTAATGTAAGTCATTTTGGATAGAAGCATAAATAATGAAGATGGCAAGGTTGGGAAAGCCCTAAGTGAATCAATCTCTAAGGGGAGTTTAAATAATGTGACAAAACGCTCTTTGTGCTGCTGTTTCATGACAGTTCAGACAAGAGGGACTTCCTTAGTACGCACTGTCATCTCTGGACAGCATTTAAAATAACCCTTTCACATGACATGACGGCACACTCCTAGAAACTGAAGTGAGCGTACAGTACCTCCCCCAGGAAAATAATGTAACATCTGGGAATGCAGCTGAAGTGGCTGTCCTCTGATATAAGCGGCTGTCAACGGAAGACACTCTTAGTGACCCATTAAATCAAACTGAGATGTTATTTTAATTGTATCACTCTAGTTGATTAAAAGTACGTGTCATTATAATTATGGATCCTGGCCTGGTACTAAAAGGGCGGGTCGGTCTCCCCTTTCAGGACTGGCGAGATACACTGACACCACAAGGGGGAGCAGTTCTCCACAGTCCTGCACGGTATTTTCTCACTTGCGAGCCGGGAGTGTGAAAGGCTGCTTCGCGGAATCCGTACCTTTGGGAAAACGCGGTGTAGGTTTCTCTGTAATAATAGGCATAGGTCGTGACGGACTAGATGAAGGATTGCAAACAGCAAATCAATTTTGGGACTAAAACAGCTGCCTCAATTAGCTACATCTAAAAAGTCGGCCATCGAAACAAGCAGGGGCTTTGCGTTGGGGAACTGCGAGGGCGCAGGTGAATAATTCCAAAGTGAAAAGTAGGCAGGAGAAACACACGATTTCGGCTGTTGTGCCTTCTGCAGGTGTCGACTCCAGCTGAAACGTCGTGTCTCTCATTCAAGGCCAAGACAGTCTTGCCTTGGGACAGGTTTTAACTGTTGCCATTGAAGATTGCGACCTGCCCGAGGGAGGACACGGAAAAAGCTACTCAAACGTCATTTTAACGTAAATTTAGGTTTACGAGGAATCTAGGAGAGCAACTCTCCCATTATAATGTACCGAGACAGACTGCCTTCTCTGACACCGACTTTGTATGAAAAGAGGTGCCCTTTGAGACATTTCAGTTGCTGCACCCTGCATTTCATCCACTGTGAACATTGGAAAAGGTCTGTGGGCTTCACTCCTCGTAGGTGGTTTTCTCACTCTGTCTGCTGCATTATCATATTGTGATAATGACATGTATTACGAGATATGCAATGATTAAGCCATATTATACTTGTAAGCACAGCCCAAATAGCAGGCCCTGTGTTATACAGTATATTATACAGTTTGTCATGAGTGCTCATTTTTAGACAGCCACTGCACTGTATTAAAATTTACCCAAGGGTGAAACTTAAGCAGAAACTTAATTCGTATTTAGTCGAGGGGAGTACTGTGATCTATTTTAGTCTAGTTTAAGGTCTTGAGACTGCAAGGCTTCCTTTTAGGGGTTAGATCAGTGAACAACAATGCTCTTTGTTCCGATGGCTGTCAGAATGTGTGAGTGAACACTTCCTGGTTACAAAAATGTAGCCTGGAAATGAGGTATCTGTTTGGTCGTACTGCCGTGCCTAGGGAGGAGACGGGTGCTGTCATGTAGAGTCAGTTTGTCCGAAGGCACGCCACTCCTCACCCACAGGACAGCAGGAACTCCTCAGCTCTCAGGCTGTTACAGAGGTCCTGTGAAGAATCCCTGAAGGACAGGAGTCCACATCGTCCAGACACTAATCTGAAATTGCAGTCTGTTGGTGCTCAGGGCAGGACGAGCTACAAACACAGCAGCTTTCCCATCTGACATTGCGAATTTGCCAATGTCAGGAGTAACTTGTGGAAACTGGAAAGCCGTGTTTTGAAAGCATACAATTTTGGATTGAACAGTGCCAGGTTTGTTATGTCTTGTTTTAAGTATATCATAGAGAAATCTGGATATTTCCAAATAGCAAAACATTTGCGTTTGAAGCATTTAGATACGATAAGATCACTTTATTAGCCCTATACAGTTTCTTGGAGTAGGAATTCATCTTTTCACATACCCCAGGTTGCTCTCCATGAGACACAAAGACAGGGAGAGAAGCTCTGGGCCAGAGCACAGGGTCAGCCATTTATACAGTGCCCCTGGAGCAGCTGGGGTTAAGGGCCTTGCTCAGGGGCCTAACAGAGAAGGATACCTCTGCTGGCTGTGGGATTTGAACCAGCAAACTTCCAGCCACAGGTGCAGATCCTCAGCCACAGAGCCACTGTTCCACCCCTGTAAAGATAATACAGCAGTAAAGATAGAGTAGATGCATGAACAGAAATAATGCACAATCAATATTAATGTTTGTCATTTGCTGTAATTGTATAGATCTTTGCCCTACATGGTTAGGATTCCCTGGTCAGTCAGTCCTCACATGTGAATGTTAAACTGACTCAAAGGCTGTTTTCCTTTAGGATCTTTCCCCTAATATATGAAATAATCCGCAACATGCTTTCAAATAAATGCCTCGCAGAGATTTTTGTATTTGTATTAGTTCTAAGATTACCAGTTTTAAGGGCCTGTTAAAACTAGCACTAACCTTGACAAGGAAGTAAGGTCAACTTCTATCTTCACAGTCAGACGTAAGACTAGTGAAGCTCGTGATTTTAATCATATTTTATTCTATTGATTCTAGTGTGGTAAAACTGAATTATCGTGATAAAGGTGAAGTAACCTGGAAAAACACTGAAATCCATTTTAGACACTTAAATTCATTACTTACAACTGTGTTTCCTTTTACTGGTCCTCCTAATATTCTCTTATGTACCGCTGAATGAAAATAAAAGATATGAATTTCAGGTATTTTTGTTAGGACCTCGATAAGATCTGAATTGCGTTCGTTAAACCTCTGCTGTGAGGCTTTGAAAATTGAAAAAATAACACTCATGAGAAGAATTTGGCCTCCTTTCTTAACAATCATCTTTAAAAGACTCGAATTTTACATCTCAGTCATATATTAGCACATCATGCGTTGCTGTGAAGAGTTTGACCAGACTTTGGGCGTAGGCAGTGTTTCAGTATAGTGAAGTCGTGCCAGCAGGCAGTTCTGTTTGATTGGCAACCACACATCATTTATATAACTTTCCATGTGGGCGTTCTGAACGGTATCTGTGTTCGAAACAGTGAACGAGTGTATCACAGTCCTAATGGACAGTATAATGGAAATTTAAGCCCCATTAAGCTGAATTAAGCGCTGTAATATAAAGATGTAGGTGGGATAAATACATTCCATGAAACCATGTTAAGAACACATCTGGGTTTGAAAAAGGTAGTGTGTGTGTATATATATAAGCTTAAAAATCAAAGGGCTTAGAAATGTACTTTGAGTACAATTAGCTCCTTAATGGAGCTATCCAATGTGAAGTGGTTTTCAGACAGCTGACTTGTGATTTAGTGAGTTTCTTGCCCTTTCCCGAATTCTTGCAAATCTTTTTAAAGCAGAGGTAGGCACTGAACAGCATATGTATTGACATGAAACCTGTGTGTCTCTGAAGCTTTAAATTTTTTTTTAGCGCGGCTTATTTTAAAATAAATATGGGGAGGTAGAGGAATTTACCTGCAATTCTTACATGTTCGGGTTTTGAAAGAATTTGTCGGTAATATTTGAATCCACAATAATTGCATAAGAAAGCTCAAAGAATCAGTACTCGGCAGTCCAGGTACTAAAATTTATCAAAAACCTTTTGTTCAATCAAAATGTCAATAAAAGTGAATAAAAATTGCTTATCCTGCACATCAAAAGAAATTTTCACTTTATACGTGCATGTTTTTAGAGACATACAGAGTCTGGGTGCTGCATATTGATTAAATGTTTTGGCCCCATTTTGATTAATTGATCATTTGTGACTGTGATACACTTGAGTGACTCTGTTACCTGAAGTCTAAATCACCTCGTTAGGACTGACAGAGATGTAACAAGACCACTGAAAGGAACAACAGCCTCATGCCATTGACATTCTGGAGTCACACCTTGCCTGAACTCGCCAGCAGTGGAGCCAAGTCCTCTGTTTAGTCTTGCCTGATGGACCTCAGTGAGTGTGGTGCTTATGTGCAGGATGATCTGCTAATTGCTGTGTACAGCAGATCAGAGGGGAGGTCCTGATTTAATGCGTTGGCTGAACGTTAATGTCCTGTTAATGATTTGACGGACATGTCAGGTCACTACAGAGCCCTGCTTGTAGTTATTGGTGCCAACATGCTTGTACATTTCTACATTGCCCTCACTTGCCGGCAACCAAAGCACCCTGCAGCTCACAACAACTGGCAGACCACTGGAGCTCAGCAGATGTGAGCCTGGCCAGTACCTGGATGGGAGACTCCTGGGAAAAACTAAGGTTGCTGC